ATCTGACTTTTTTAGTTTTAGGACTTACAAACAACCGTTATGTGAACAAAACTATAATACTCTCTTTAGCAACTTTGTTGCGAGAGTATAAAAACAACTTTAACTTCGCTTGCAAGGAAACTGACTTCGTGCTGGAGGGAGCGTGGTTTTTTCGATTTCCTGCAGTAGCGTTGTTTGACTGACTATGTTAAAGGCTTCTGACAGGCTCAGGATTGTGGGTGGTTTCTGTTTAAGGCCACGAATATCTCAAAACTGAGAGACCAGTTCTCATCTTTTTCTTAATTGGCGTAGACACCCCTTACGCGATTATAGCCAAGTTAACAACAGCGCGCCAGTCGTTTCTTCTCTTTGCTACATGGCGCCAGTTGGATATTCCAAACGTAGCCAGGTCCTTCTCCACCTGGTCCTTCCAACGGAGTTTAGGTCTTCCTCTTTCCTACTTCCCCCGGTGGGTACAGCGTCGAATACGTTCAGAGCTGGAGTGTTTTCGTCCATTCGAACAACATGACCTAGCCATCGTAGCCGCTGTCTTTTAATTCGCTGAATTATATCAATGTCGTCATATATCTSACACAGCTCATCGTTCAGTAGAATGCGATATTTTCCGTGGCCAACGCGCAAAGGACCATAAATCTTTCGGAGAACTTTTCTCATAAACTCGCATCGTCGACTCATCAGTTGTTGTCATCGTCCAAGTCTCTGCACCATATAGCAGATACCAATATCATCGGCATACGGCAGCAGCTGTACACTCTTATAAAAGATTGTACCTGCTCGAYTAASTTCTGCAGCTCGAATTATTTTCTCCAGCAGCAAGTTGAAGAAGTCGCACGATAGGTCGCCTTGTCTGAGGCCTCGTTTATTATCGAACGGCTCTGAGAGATTCTTCCCGATTCCGACGGAGCTTTTGGTGCTGCCCAAAGTCAGTTTACACAGCCGTATTAGTTTTGCGAGGATATCAAATTCAGACATCGCGGCATAAAAGCAGCTCCTTTGAAATCGACGAAGAGGTGGTGTGTGTCGATTCTCCTTTTATGAGTCTTTTCCAGCATTTGGCATGGTGAATATCTATTCGGTTCTTGACTTGCGGGGTCTAAAGCCACACTGATAAAGTCCAATCAATTTGTTGACGGTGGGCTTTAATCTTTCACACAATACGCTCGATAGAACCTTACATGCGATGTTGCGGAGGCATATCCCATGGTAGCTACCGCAGATTGTAGGGTCCCATTTTTTATGGATGCACACTTAAGTTGGGCATGCTTTCGTCCGACCATATTTTCCAACTGTTCGCACACAACTTGCACCAAACCAACCAGTTTTGATTCTTACCAGCTGCCGCACGCTTGTTTTACAAATTAAAAAAAATAAAATACTACGATTTAATTTTTATGCTTAACAAAATAAAATATGGATAGTTACACCGTAGATAATGCACTCAACTGCAACAGTGTTTTTTGTTTACATTATTACTTGAAAATAACGGGAAATTTTCAATTCCCTTTTGATCAAATGTACACTTCTACACATCACGAGCTAGACTCGTGATAATCATGTTTGGCACAGAAATTGTACCACAAGTCAGACTCGTGGAAATACGTCAAGGAGTTAATTGCTATTCGAACTTCTCCATGGTCGGGCAATGGAACGTCTGCTCCATCGTCTTCGATTGGAGAATCGGGTTAATTCTCTTGGTGTTGTACGTTCACTGCCATTCAGCCGGCTAGAGAAGTGTTCCCTCCATAATTTAAGTATGCTCTGGGCATCGGTGACTTGATCATCTTTGGAGGTTCTACAAGAGTGTTCTCCGGTCTTGAAACCTTCTGTAAGCCGCCGCATTTTTTCGTAGAATTTTCGAGCATTACCCTGTCGGCCAGCTTATCAAGCTCTTCATACTCACTCATTTCGGCCTCTTTCTTTTTCTGTCTGCAAATGCGTCTCGCTTCCTCTTCAACTCTCGGTATCTGTCTCATCCCGCACGTGTTGTGGTCGATCGTAAAGTTGCGAGGAAGGCAACCTGTTTTCTCTCCGCTGAGACACGGCACTGCTCGTCGTACCAGCTGTTCTTTTGTACTTTCCGTAAACCAATGGTTTCGGGTGCGGCTGTACGTAAAGAGTTTGAAATGCCGTCCCACAGTTCCCGTATACCGAGTTGTTGACGAGTGCTCTCAGAGAGCAGGAGTGCAAGCCGAGTAGAAAATCGTTCGGCTGTCTGTTGTGATTGCAGCTTCTCGACGTCAAACGGATGTTCTTAGACTACCCAGAGGATACTTGGTTAAAGACCGGAGATCGTGAGCCGCTTGAACCATATGTAAAAGAATCGTTTCTGGCCCTTAATTGGGAAGGTGCCGCTGCCCAGACGAGTAGGTCCTTGTGACATTTACTACAGTGGCTATATAAAGGAGCACAAGTTTGGTGTGGGATTCGTGGTGGGAGAGGAACTCCGTCGCCGAGGCTATATATACATACATTATAGAGTCTCCTACGTTTCCTTCCATTCCAAACTTCGTCGTAAACAATGTACATTACAAATTGTTGATTTACAGGGAGCCAAAAACACGCAAAATCATGATACGGGAAATATTCTACGGTTCATTCTGAACAACTTTGTCTGAGAGGCTATGATTCCAAAACCGGGTTTGAACCAACGTTTTTTAAGGAGAAGTTCATCTTTTAATGGTTATAAAAATTTCAGTATCAGTAAATATGCGATATTAAACGGTCATATTCTATTGATCATTTGCCGGAATCGGCCAGATCCCATACAACCGATTATTCAGTTATTTTACTTTCCGGTAGCTTGCCCTTAACTAAATAGCTAGGAGCACGTAATTTTGTGGAACAGTTCTGTATCACATATCTTCGATATAACCAAAATATATAATAATAATATATATAAATAACATATAATACCTTCCTTATACATATACACAAAAGTTTAGATACTTGCCTCAAAGAAGTTGGAAAAAGAGCAAGAACCACTCCTAATAGAGATGATGTTGATACGGCCGCCACTGATAAAAACACAGATGATATAATAAGTGTGGAAAGACCATTTACCGACCAATAGAGCGATATGCCGAGAGAGCCAGATATTAAGAGTCCATAAACTAAAAGGTATGAACGATTATTCACAATATCGTTTTACAAATGATTTAATCACATATATTTGTACTTAATAAATTTTTAGCTCCTATAGCTCGCACAGTTATACCAGCAAAACAATATGCTACTAAACCAGACGCCGATACGACTATGTTATTAACGTATAGATCTATTGACACGTTCGGTAGCTGCAAAATAAACATTATTTGATAAATTAAAACAAATTAGTAAATAGTAATTAAAATTTTACGTTAGTACAGGAGTCGTGAAAGTCTGTAATCACTGATGTTTTATTAACACTATACTCTAGAATTGAACATAGATTCGCTGAGCTTGATTCATCGTTATCTAAAGCTTCGTATTCTGCGATCGATGCAAAAAGTTGAGGCAACCACAGTCGAACAGTATTTAAACTGCAAAAGATAAATCTTTGACAGTTTCGCAATTTCAGTCTTACATACATGACCAAGCATACCCAAGTAAAATACAGAATTGCATCGCATACGCGTGAAGGGAGTGACCTAATAAAGGCTTTGTGAACATAGGCTTAATCTGCTTCATTCCTTCCTTGAAAGATTGGGAGAATGTTCTGGGCTCAGGTTTGTATTTCCGCTTAACTGGTTTGTTTTCTACATTAAATATAAGCTCATCAACATTCGGGATACGATTCGGAACTTCCTCAACCAGTTCTTTGACCTAAAGAATATAATAAAATTATGAAATGTATAATGACTTTATCAAGGATAATATATACTGGATAAGTATTCCTGCTTGTTCTTTTATTAATAGAATAAATCTTTTGAAAAGCTAGAAGGGCCTCAGCATTTCTTCCTTGAGACATTAAAAATTTAGGACTTTCCGGCAACGCAATTAGTCCTAATCCACCGATTATACTTGGTAAACTGCATACTGCCAAAAATATTTGCCACGGATGTACTAAAAGGGTAATTGGTTAAAATAAGTATTCTAAATATGATTTCACAGTAATTATAATACTTATTAAATAGTTAAACAATACGAATTCCCAATCTTGTGGAAATATCGCCCAGGCCAATAGTGGCATTATAAGTGTTGCCAAAGACATAACCATCCCATAAACCATAAGAACTCGTGGTCGATGAGCGGAGCCGTGCATTTCAGTTAAATATGTTAATAGTACTGCACCAGGACCATTCACGCTATAATGTAAAATGTTTTCTAATTGGAAGCAATTCGCAAAATGTCAAAATTAGTCTCACATGAAGCCGCCCAAAAATTTAAAGGCAACAAGCATTTCAAAATTCTGCGACAAAGAGCTGCAAAGTACGCAAACGGCGTCTATTAAAAAACCGTATATCAAAACTTTTCTCCTCCCAATTGTGTCTGCGAGATATCCCCAAATAACAGCCGACGATATCATTCCAGCATATGTAGCTCCATTTAAAATTCCTTTATCGAAAAGTGTCATTTTAAGATCACACTCAGCAATTGGAAGTATATACGACATTGTGGTGGTTTCAAAGCTGGCGGCGCAAGACGCAAATATACCAACTATAAGCAACACTAAATTGAATGTCCCGAAACCTGTTAAATTCATGGCTTGCTCGAAGTCGGCTGGTCCATATTTTAACATTAATAATARTAAACAAAATTATACAATTATCTTTATATTTTTCATTAATACATTATGTCATTTATTCTAGTACCTTTCAAAAATTAAAAGTAGCTCATAAGAAAGATATATACATATGTATATTAGATACATTATTTATTAGATATGATTGGGGAATGGAATGACTACACTCCACAGTATTAAATTTAGCCTCTTGCAACATGCTGCTACAGAGTATAATTGTTTTATTCACCTAACGGTTGTTTGCAGCTCCTAAAACCAACAGAGTCTTATGAATATTAAATAATTTTGTCCGATTTTCCCCATTAAGTAACCATAAGAGCAATTTTTATAATTTCTCCTCGGAGAGTTTGGTCGATATAACTAGTACCGCCGATGACAGGTGTACCATATATATTAAATGTAATTTTCAGCCCCAAGATGACCCACACTACTACGATCATCTGTATCAAACTACTGTTTTGTTTCTTAATTTGAAGCTCTTTATCTACTTTAGGCACCAAGTATCACAGGCACTCTCTAAGTTCCTTTAACATAATCCACATATCAACATGAAGTTCAAAAATCTTTACATAAGCGACGTTTACTATTTCCAAGAAAAATGTTAAGTATAATATGAGTTGTTCGGCCGATAGCCCATGCTGCTAGTGCTGCGTATTTTCTTAGTTTGTATAATAATTATATTATTATGTAAGCTTTTATAAAATAAAAAAAATAAAAAAAATAAATAATATGAGTTCGCATGTAGAATTTAGCATTGTAGTTGTAGATTTTTTCAACTTTTCCTTAAAACTTTCTTCGATAAGATTCGTAGTTTTGCCGGAAATCTAGATAAACCGTTTTTAGCCCTTAAACCCTTGTCTACGCCAGTAAATAAGAAGAGGATAACTTTTAAAGGAATGTTTTTATAGAATAAATCAAAGGTAGAGCGGACAATTTTGTTTTACAATACAAACATTGATTCAAAACATCAAAAGACAAATTAAAAAAAAAAATTGTTTTAGAGATTTTTCCAAGTTTGAATGTTTATTTGCTTGATTCAAAACTTCGAAACAATAGACAAATTAAGATGTCAATCACAATTTCAATTAAAAACAAAGAGCTTGTTTCCATTGGATATTCTTTTTTGAGTAAAACCTAACACTTCACGAGGCGTCTGCATATACGATATCAACTCCTGTACTTATATATGTAAGTAATTCGATAATTTAATTGCAATACGTTTTGTAATACCTTTTCGGTTATCACTTGTTGSTGTTGTAGACCCAACATTTTCAGCCATTTTGAATATAGAATAATAAACACTATTTAACAAATAACACAAGGAACCAATTTGGACATATACATATACATATATCTATATTTCGTTGCACTTTCAATCGCGTTAATTGGTACGARTTAAAATAATTAAAGTCCCGAGGTTTTTTTCATTTCCTTGATCTTAAGTAGTTTTTTATATATGTACAATTCAGAGTTCCCATAAATTTATCGTAATATTCGTATATATACAAAAATTGTACTTTAAATTTTTGTTATGAACTTGCAACTTTCTATCCAAATGGCCAACTACTCGCGTTAAYGAACAAAATATGAATGCCTTATTATTTCGAAAGATACATACATCTGCTAATTAAGAGCTTTAGAAATATGCCTAAAGATTTATTGCAATCATAGAGCATATTATCACCTATCTGTATMTTCATATTAATATAAGACTTTGTCGACGTCATAAAGATATTTAGAAAAAATTTACTACGCGTAAGGTTATCAGTAATCTTAATACATATGTATTAATGTGCATACATACATATGCCTTTGAAAATTTGTCCGTAATGGTGTTTCATCACCCATCTAAGTAGACATCTCTGCTCAACTTCTAATCAAAATCCAATTGAAGATTTTCGACAAAATGTTCTAAAATTTTGATACGTTTTTTATCGGTGGTAGAAAGTCAATAATAAATCGTTCTACAACCATCATGTACTTGTATATCGATCGATAAGTAATATATCTTAATAATCTTTAAAAAAAAAAACTGTGCATTTATGGTAAGCATCTGTAATTACTCTATCCAAGAAATATTTTCTGATAATTTTTTACAAAATTTCGTTGAGAACCATTTATTACTATATATGTGTATTTATTAAGGAAATAAACACATGATGAGCTGTACAATGTTTTASTTATAATCTTGTATAGAAACGTAAATTAAACAAATATATAACTGAGCAATACTTACTCTTGAAATTTGTTTCTTGCGAAAAATTTAACATTTGCTAATGGACGAATTAAAACTAAATTTGATTTTTTAGAACTATTTTTACTTCCCCTGACCGAAATTGCATAAAAATCATCCTCAAACAAGATATATGTATGTATCTGACATAAACTTAACCGAATAAACTAAATCGCAATTGATKATATTACTGATATGAGATTAAGACCAATTTCTACATCGACTCCATTTAACTTCAGCGCTTTAACATTAATATAATACGGTTATGAGAAAAACGCGCTTAATCAATTTAATTAAGATAACTCACATATTGGGTATAAAGTCTGCCAGAAGTTCGAAAATCCATTCATTAGGTATATGGGAACTAAGGGAAATATTGAACCGAACCTATACATATTATTGTCAGGAAGTTTCTTTCCAAATTTCAAKAATATATTTCACACATTTACCGATATTTTTRGTAAAAAGTCAGCCATCGRCTGAATAGTAAGTAGGGGGGTTTTGTGGGCGTGGCAGTAGTCCGATTATGTTAACTGCGAACTCATCATTCCTTTTTGGCCAAGGAACACGTGTATCAAGATTCATCACTCTACCATCACGACGGACTGTCAGACAGACATCTATCTCGTATTGATAGAATTGCTAGAAAAAGACAAAGTTAGCGTATTGGTTCTCTATTTCTCGACCATAAATTGTTCTGTATAGAAACTATTAGATATGGTTAAATWCAGTGACTCCACATTGCAGTCATATTTTTACTGGGCCAAGCGAAAGGCAAAAGTTTGATTTCATCAGGTTACTAACAATTAAGTATTAAATACAGCTTAAAACAATAGAGCTATTTAGACCGAACTTAATCTGGTAAACACTTGACTGTGAACATACTTGTTGAAACAATTTTCAAACATGCCAGTCTAGTACTCCGTTACTTCTCTTGGTTTTGATCAAACAGTTTTCATGGCAGCTACATACATATGTATATTACTAAGGCCTAAAAGTAAATGACACTTTGTTCATAATTTTAAAATTATTAATTTACTCTGTATATGTGATAATGGTCCTCGGCAACTATCTATGTCAAATTTTGTGAAGATACCTTATCAAAAAAAAGCTATCCATACAAGGTATTGAGTTTAATTGGTCAGCTTATATGAGGGGCTAGTTCGTGTATATACAAGTACTTGTACCTAGATGTTACAAACTTCGTGGTAAACTTAATCTACTCTGTTCAAGGCATAAAAACTAAACTTAATGCTTGTTTATTTACGCTAATATTTCGTGGGTAAATCTTTATGCTTTACAAGTGCAAGCAGTCCAACTAATGTTTATTCTTACATCTCGAATTGCTACTTACCTTTGAAATAAGTGTTAGCAACAGGCAACAAACACGAATTGTGAAATACTTTCTGACCAAAATTAAATCCCATATTTATATAAAGATATACTTAAAAGTGCAAATATAACAAAATTACTGATATATTTTATCTGAATTCAAGGTGAAAGAAAACAGCATACCCGTATTATGTGAAACCCTAGTAACACATCAGAAAGCAAATCACTAATTTTTATTACACATATACATATGTACGTCATATTAGCAAATTTGCAATTTCATTCTAACTATATAAATAATGGAATGAAATAGTTCACTCACGTTCGGGCACAAAGCCCAGACCACATACAATACAATTAATTTTTAGGTTCAATGTTTTTCAGTATTTGGTATGCAATGAACTGTTACTTTTTGCCAATTCATGAG